TGAAATAGTTGGTCGAGAGCCAAAAAAAGTGTTACAGTTATTAAATTGGTCCACAAGAGACACGTGTAGTGTCAGGATCATAGAAGGGATAAGTTATCTAACGAACGAGGAGTGAAGCGTACGAAGGAAGCTATGAAATTCCATATAAATAGGTAAATGTGGTAAGATGGTAAGATTAATCACCCTTTACAAATCTTAATACTACTTACAGTTACATACATCTTTCTTTTATCCTTTACGGACTTGAGCGTCGGAGGTTTAACACCGGGAGCACCTCCCAACGTATTTGCAGGTCTTTGGGAGCATCAAACAGTTGAAGATCAGAGGAAGGCCGGTTCGAGGTGCATGAGCACATCAAAACCAATCTCGATCAATTTTTTTTTTCCAAAATTAAGGGGGCGATTGTATATGCATTGCACAGTAAAAAACTCAATCCAAACTCAAATTTAACTCAACTTTAACTCAACTCCACTATCTCCAATATTATCAATATAATTTAATAATATCAATCAATCATTCTTACATATCACATCAACTTTAATTTACTATTCATTCACTCACATAATTGTAACTAACTATCACTTCCAATCATTTTTTTCTACTTTTACATCAAATCAACTTTAATTATTTTATTTTAAATATTATTTTAATATATCCACTAACAACTAACCATATCAACTTCATTCAAACTTAACTATAGTTAAAAGAAAACTAGTTTTTTACTAGTTGAATTCATATCCAATCACGCCCTAATTCACTTTATCCAATAAATAAAATCAAATGCGAAATCACAGGATCCTCTTTGTGTGGAAGAGAAGGAAAAAAAAAGGCGCATTTCATATTCAGTAAGTCCCTTAGAAATCTACAATGCATTGAGTTTAGTCTTGCTTATGTGGGATGTAAATAAACTAGTAAGTCTCTTAGAGCATCTACAATGCATTGGGTCTAATCTTGCCTATGTGAAATGTAAATAAACTCAAGTATCGAATGACATGGATAAAATTATGTAAAATTAACAAAATCCACTACAATGCAAAAAGACTAAGGGGGTGTATTTAATTAGGATTTTTAGGGACTTTTTAAGACTTGAGAAATCTTGGTGTATTCAATTTAGATTTGTTAACACTTTTAAAAACCTTGAGGTATTTAATTAGGATTTTCAAAAGTCTTACAAAATCCTGAGGTATTCAATTTTTTTACACTGAGATTTATTAAGATTTTTTAAAATTTGCTGGGATTTCTAAACAAAAACCTTATATGAAATCTCACTTCAAATCCTACCTTCAGACTTAAGATTTCATAGAATTCTTCTCAAATATGAAAATCTTAAAAAATCTCAATTAAAAAATCTTAAAATGTCACTTAAATTCTCAATTGAGTACACCCCCCTAAGTCTCTACTTTGGTCTAAAATAGACTTAAGGGTAGACTGAGTCATTTTTTATGGCAATCACATCAGCATAACCCATTCTACTTATATTTGCATTGGAATATATATATATATTTTTTATTGAACCAAATCATTGTGGATTATTTTGATTTATAATATTATCTATCATTTTGGGGAAAAAAAATCATTGTGGATGATCTTAGGGTCCGGGGAAAGGAGTGTGAGCGACTATTGACTATCTAATTAACGCCAAGATTTTCAGCTAGCGACGACGTATATCCGACGAGGCGCCGGCCGACCAACAACGCTCGTGGTACAACTTGTGGGACTGTTTGGAGAGCGGACAAAAATCCGGCGAGAGTTCTGTTTATTCCGGTGCAGTTTAGAAAAAAAAAATAAACGTTCCCTGAAAAGCATAACACCCATTTACCCGAAAGACTCTCTTCCTCATTCACCTCTTATCCATCACGAACACCAACCACTGGTGTGACCGGCCATCACCAAACTTATATTATCGCTTTTTTATTTGCTTAGTTTTTTTCCCGGTCCTTTATTTTCATCTCATCACGAACACCAACCACTGGTGTGATCGACCATCACCAAACTTATATTATCGCTTTTTTATTTGCTTAGTTTTTTTCCCCGGTCCTTTATTTTCATCTCAGGAAAGTTTCGACTATTTTCATCTCAGGAAAGTTTCGACACGAAAAAAAAATAAAAAAAAAATAAAAAAATTATTTGTAAAGTGAAAAAATATAAAAAAAATACATAGTCAATCTTCAATGTATTGCCGATATCATGGTATTTTTTTCGGATTTTTTCGACATTTTTTTGACGGTCAAAAGAGCCGTGAAAAGTCGAGAGGGAAAGACTAGAGAGAGAAAGTAGAGAGATAGTTATAAGGGCAAAAACGTAATTGGGGGACAGTGATTAGGAAAAGGGGCGGTAAATAGTAATACCCTATTTTTTTCTCCCACTTTTTCTCATTCTCTCTCCTAAGATTTCTCTCTCTTCTATTTTTTTCCTCCGCTTTGTCTCGTTCTCTCTCATTTTTTTGGCCAAATCGTTCTCTCTTTGTATTAGGTAAGGTAAGTTTCTTTTATTTTCTTTCTTGTTTCTGCACATCCGTCTCACTCTTGCCATAAGATGACTGATGACGGCGACTTGGGCTAAGGGTAATGAGTCTCAATTGAATTAGGGTTTGATTTATTATCATGAATTTGAGATTCAGCCATGGTTTTAAGGATTTGAATTGATTTTTGAATTTAGGAGTGAGTCTTGTAAATTTTAAAGGTTTGTTCTTGTTCGTTGTTCTTGTTCTCCGAATTTGCTGCTATGTAAATTTAGAATCTAGGTTGATTTTTTTTTTTAATAAATGACAGGCCGGGCCAGGTCGGCCCGCCCCAACACGGGCCAGGTTGCGGGCCCGCCGAAATGGACCCGTAACGGGGCACGGGCCAGGGCGGGGCGCGAGACTAGGGGCGCGGGGCAGGTCCGGGTACTGTACTACCCGGCCCGACCTGCCCCATTGCCATCACTCGTCCCGAAAGATGTCTTTTTGATCCTCGTACTCTGTAGGTGTTTCCTACATCTGTAAATACCCCTCGTGCACGAACCATTCATTTACTTGCAGTTTAAGAGCTTTTGCATTTTCGAAATTCATACTTCCAATTTTTATTCTTAGAATTTCTAAGAGTCAAATTCCAAACAGTAGTATGGTTAGTTGAAATTTAGTATATTTGCAATACTGTTATATGCTAAATAGAAGTAGTTATATATCGGGAGACTTTTGCTAATACCGTGAGTATATATATATATATATATATATATATATATATATATGTATATATATACACGCCGAGTCCTTGGGCCCCAAAGACAAGTTGGATATACAATTGTCTTAAGTAGTACATGCATCATGTGCTTCAACCTTTTTTTTTTTTTCATTCTTATATTCCTTCTCTTTCAAGCCATTTTATTTAAGTTCTAACATATTTTGTTAACAAATATATTACTGTGGTTAATTACCTTTGATGATCGAGGTGAGAGTAGGATATATTAATTTGAGGGATTGGTAGGGGCTTTGTGCTTAAACCTATGTAAATTTGAGTAGGTGAGTGCATTGGATGACTTGTAGATTTGCATAAGGAACAAAACACCTACTAGAAGGAAGTATCTTTTTGGAATTGCTGCCTGGATATTTCTCTGTTTGCTGGCATCTGGTTTTAGATCATCATACCATGGTTGATTACATTTGGTGTCAGCATGAAACTAGTTACGCAGCTTTTTGATGTTTTATATGTGTAAGAATCACCTAAATATCTATTTTACAGGGAAGCTTATGAAGGAAGTGATTTTTTCCCAAAATACGTATATTCACACACAGTATCTCAATTTCAACTCCTCTCTTCCTTTTTTCTTCTCACACACCTGTATCTCCTTTCCTTCCTCTCTTCCTTTCTCTTTTATTCATTTCTTTTGCTGCAACTCTCTTCTCTTTGTCTCTCATTCAATTCGAGCACAAAGACAGCATTACTCTCTCTCTCAAAATTTTAATAAACCATCATCGACACAAATTGGATTTCTCTACTCTGATTAGATCGTGTTATAGATTTAGGATGGCGACACGTGATCCATATAGCCGACTCCACTTAGAGGGGTTTTAATGGCTTTGTTGATTGATTGATTGATATAGATTTAGGATTTGCTCTTTCTAGTTCATTCCGCGCTTCTCCAGACCGGGTCAGCTACCTGTAATCTACCTCCATTCGTCGGGCATCTATTTGTTTTATGATGGCTCTGTGTTTATTTAGGCTATATTTGCTGCTGACCTCATGTTTATTTTTTATTCATTATGTGTTCATATAATTATATAGATTTCTTTTGTCATCATTCATGGTTTACTTATTGTTTATTTTGTGAGTTGTCAGGAATTTAATTAGTGATCATATTAGAGTTATATACCATTTATTTAAGGTTATGTTGTGTGCTTATCATTTACATGGGGTTAATTATAAACATTTGAATATGGAAATAAAAATCTGTTTATCAAACTTAACAATACATGGTCGACAGATTCAAACAGTGGTCATCTGTATGCAAGAGTAGAGACGAAAAGTCCTGTTCTACTTGAATGAAAAGCTAGTTAGTAAGCATGGTTAAACCAACCATACCATGATTTTCTGAAATCAAATAGTAGTGTGTGTAAGAGGGAGAATAGTGGGAAGTGAGAGAGGATAGAGAATAATGGGTGCTTTCATCTAAAGGGGTTATTTTAATTATCGTTCTTCCCTCTTTCTGTTTAACATGTTTGGAATAAAAAAACTGAAAATAGGTAGATATGTAAATTTATTTGAGTGGTTTACTTTCTGGAAAAGCATTATCTATTGGTCCCAAAACTGTCAATTTCCCATTTAGAAATTGTATTTCTCTTATATGTTTATATAAATCTCAGTGCTGCTCGAGGGAGTATGTTTTGCACGACTCCTATTGTTTCCTACTACTCATTTAGAATCTTTTTTGCCTTTATACATATGCATATTTTATATCTGTATATGATCTCACATTATGTACAAGATTGAGACCAATGATAATGGTTGCAGAAATTCTTGATGGACACAGTGGAGGAGATGCTCCATGAGCAGCTCTTGATTTTGTTTGCTTCGCAAACAGGAAATGCAATGGATGCTGCTGAACGGCTTGGCCGTGAAGCCGAGCGTCGTGGTTGCCCCTCAGTCTCTGTTCTCTCAATTGATGAATTTCAACCTGTTAGTTCCCACCTCATTATTTGCACTACATGCCAACATTCATATGTTTAAATTAGAAGAACACTACAGATTTGTATTTTCCAAAAAATGATAATATATATCCTTTGAAATTGGATCACAACATACTAATTGGATCACAACATACTAATTCACAATTTTTTTTTCAGCGGCTTGTAAAATAAAACCTTTTGCACTAATAAAACTTTACACTTGCAAGGTTTCTTTATTTATTTCTATTTGTTTTCTCAAAGTATCTATCTCATCATATTGACATTATAATTCAGAGCAACTTGCCAAATAAGGAGGCTGTGATTTTTGTGGTGTCAACCACAGGTCAAGGAGAGAACCCAGACTCCATGAAGGTTTCTTATCATCTGAGATAACCAGAAGTATGATGTTCGGGTTTAGCCGAATTGAACACCCTCATAATTGTAATTTGCATCTATTGGTCCAACTTTTTTGCAGTCGTTTTGGAGGTTTTTATTGCAAAAGAACTTGACAAGGGAATGGCTTAAAGGAGTTCATTATGCTGTGTTTGGATTGGGAGATTCAAGCTACCAAAAATATAACGTAACTTTTTAACCTGGCATTTAAAGATTTTTTTTTATTTTATTTATTTTTTTTTTCTTGTTCCAGTGATGCATATAATTGCGTATTTTTTTTACTTTGAAGGTTGTATTAAATAATGATAGTTTGCTGAGGCTGTATCATTGCCTTTTATTTATGACATTAGTTATTGAGAATCTCATGAAATTTGAGGATGCCACTCTATAGCTGTTGAAGGCATAGTCAAGCATGTACACCAATAATAATATGAGACTTCTGATGATTCTGCATTGAAAGTTTATCCTACAATTTCATTGCTGAATTGTATCATTTTCATCTTTAGGTCGAACTTTTATCACTTGAGAATATAAGTAGTTTTAAACAATCTTATAATAGCTAATATTTGTTTTCTGGTTGCAGTTTGTGGCTAAGAAGCTTGACAAACGACTCTCTGATCTTGGTGCAGTGGCTGTTATTGAAAGAGGCCTGGGCGATGATCAACACCCTTCAGGGTACATTTTTATCTGTTCCTCCATTAACTTTGTTTCATGTGATTTGGGGTAATTTCACATGTCTTGCCTGCATGATATCTGAATATTATATTCTTGGTTTTCCTGTGAGCAAATCAATAAAAACTCATTTGTTAATCAAAGTACCTCAACACTGCTGCAAGTTCAACTTTAAATATTTTTTGACATTCACTATATTGTCCACTCTGGTGTGCATGTGAGGTCTCAATGATAATTAAACCCCATACCGTAGCATGTTCTGATAGGACCATGAATGAACCTTTTGTTCTCACTGTGCCTCTTTCACCTTCGAATTTGATAGCTTCTTACAGATGGAAGTTCTATGCGCTTGCCATAGGGGAAGTATTGACTGGATTTTCTCACTTACGGAAGAGAATAAAAAGAAAAAATATGAGATTTTGGGGTAGCTTGCATTAAATAATTACTATGACATGGAAAGTTTTATATTAGTAGCATCAAAGCATGTGTATTGCTAGTAATGCAGTTTATTAAACTTTCCATGGAGGCCTGTGATTATTGATAAATGGCCTGGGTAGAACTCTTCCTCAAAAACTAACTCAAAGAGAGGGGGTGCTCAACCCACACTTATACATAATAGCAGCCTAGTAACTAATCGATGTGGGGCGAACATAACTTCTAACACTGCCCACATGAGCAGCGTGCCAAACCAAATGGGCCGGGTCCGAACCCAACATCGCCTCAAAGCAAACAAAAACTGGGTGTACCATATAAATGGGTCTGGGTAGAACTCATCCTGAAAGCTAGCTCAAAGAGAGAGGGTGCCTAACCCACACTATACACAACAACCTAGTAACTAATCGATGTGGTATGAACATGTCTAATAGTTATTTACACTTTAACAATCTCAATTTCACAAAGTTCCAAGCACTGTGCTGTATTGTGCCTGACAATTGACATGATGTGGCACCAGATAGTTGTTTCTGTTCACTTAGAAAGGCCAATGGTTCATCAGTTTTCGACTTATATGAACTACAAGTGAGGCATTATCTTACATCTCTTACATATCGTACAGGTAGAAGGTAAAGGTTTTTATAATGTCACAGGATAGGATGTCATCCATGTGTGAAACTGGGGTTAATGTAGCGGACAACTCGACACCATTATCGTTTTCTGAAAGTTGCAAGTTGCATCTCGAAATTGATAGATTTCTAGTACATTTTGTTTTGATTTTGTTTCTTTGGTTTGTCTGGACATTTTCCTTGTGTGTAAGGTTGTTACTTTTGGAGGTCACTAAAAGAAACACAAAATCTTTATTTTGGTATGTTTAGTGGTTTTGTTTTATTTAATTTGGGGGCGATTTCACACTTCCCCTACTAATATTCTTTGCCGCGATATTTCACTTATCATCTGCATGTTCATCTACTATTCTGAGATGTGTATTTTTTCCTGGATAGTAACTTTTAGTTGGTGCCTTCACAGAAAAGTTTAAATAATTTGTTATGTTAGATGCTATAAAGAAAAAGTTTACGAGATTTTTACAATTCATTTGCTAGGTATGAAGGGGCTCTGGATCCTTGGATGTCTTCCTTGTGGAATATTTTGTACCAAAAGAATCCCAAACTACTTCCAAATGGCCCTGATTTATCGACACCTGATGCAACTTTACTAGATCAACCAAGAGTGCAAATTATATTTCATGATGCCGAAGAATGGGTGCCACCTCATTCAACAACCACTGGTTGGCTGCTTAAACTTGTGATCTCTTCAGCATATATTTCTGCCATTTGGACATTTTGCTTGTTTCGGTATTATCAATAGATTTAGTTCTTTTTAATAGATGACATTTGTCATATGAGCCATGCACATGGTATCATTAGATGTATTTAATATCGAAGGATAAGTTCGTGAATTTGTGAAATGATTGGTGAAGTTATCATCATGCTCCATTTCCTTTTCACCGCTAGTTTACATGTAAAGAATGAGAGAGGTAGTCTATTTCAGTCGTGTAATTATCTTAATTACAAGAATCTTCGTGCAGAAGCCAGAAATAATACTGTAACTTTAGTGGTTACTAGTCCTAACATTACACAGTTTCATCAAATCAATGTGATTTATTTATTTCCTGAATTAGTAGTGTAAGTACGCCAAATAGGATAGGATTGTTAGTGTAGGTAGTCAGATGATGCATATTTGTCCTCCATGAGCTTCAGTTTGGACGTCATGTTGAATCAACTAGACCAAGGTGCCAGAGATTTTGGTTCTATGTTGTCCTTAATCCTTATGTCTCAGTGCTGCTAACTTGCCACCTACTCGGTCAGCTGCAATTTGTTGGATCTTTCATGCATATAGAAGCTTGGTCTATTCTGCTGATATTTTCTTTGCAGCTTCGACTCTGTTGTTTATTTTTTGTTGCAATCTGCGTCGCAGATTTAATTGAACTTGGGATGCAAATCGAGAGGGTTCGTTCGATGACTCGTGGAAAGTTTTCTGGTAAAAACAACCCTGATTGCTTCCTGCAGATGGTGGGTCATAGTTTTTATATCCTCAATAATATATCAGCTGTGACAATATTCTTTGCTATATAATTACTTAGCATCTATTATTGATGAAGAGTATTGAATTTGAAGTAGCTTGCGTTACCTTTTCAAAAGAATTTTACAGATTGCAGATGCCTTCTTGTGAAAATATTAAGTTGCACTTATATTTTTTTGCCACTGCTTTCAAAACATGCTAAAGAAGGGTAATGTTTGAGTTTCTGCCAGAACATTGTATTCTTTCAAACACGTGGCAAACGGTGGTAACTGATATACGAAGATGTGATTATCAAGAATCCCACGGGGGTAGGGTGATTCATTTTTGTGTATTTTGCAAGTAGAAAGGAATCCTGTATCTAAATATGGAAATTAACGCTTGGTTACAGTATTTTCCAAAAAAAAAAAAAA